GATTTTTATATATTAAATAAAAAAATACTTCTAATAAAACTTTTTAAAATCTTAATTAATATGTTCAAATTTATATAATATGCAGTTTAAAACAATTTGTTTATAATAGTGACTCTGTAAAAAAAATCAAACTTAACTTTTCTATAACTTCTTTATATATGAATTCTAGATATTTTCCATTTTGATTACTAAACAATAATATCTATATTTGTTCAATAAATATTGTATATTTGTAGGATATTTATGGAATAACTTTAGTAAAATAATAGAAATCATACAAAAATTTTACTAAACCTATGCTAAAATTCTACTAATTATAGAAATTAATTGGAGAACTTCCTCAAATTTATATAATAATAAAAGATAAATTTATAGAATATTCTATTATATCATATAATATAAATAATTTACTGAAATAATATGTAATTAATATAAAATTTTTACTGAATTTTTATAACAATTTATGTAGAAAAAGCTAGAACATTTTTATAAAAAATTTGGAAATGTCATAGAAATAAAAACAATATATATTGAATAAATATGAAAGTATTACTAAACTTCTAAAAAATAAAAGTTAGAATTTTTATTGCAATAAAAACAGTATACAAGCTATATTCACAAATAAAAGTTAAAACTTTTATTTGCATTATTATATATACATATGTAATATATACATCTTTTTGAACAAATCTAATCCTTCTTTTTAATTCTTAATCTTTTTACTAGCTCTTGCTTTATGCAAGGAAGTTTTTTTTTGCCTTTTGTTCTCTTTTTCTTTTTTTAGCTATATAAAAATAAATTAGATATTATAGTATAAAGATAAAAAAAAAACTATATTTTTGTGAAATATTACTCAATAGCGTTATTTAAAATAAAGACTTGAATTAAGCTTAATTCAGGTTATAATCTGAAATAACACCACTAGAATAATTTTATAAAAATATTGTTATATAATTATTTTACTAAGTACCAGAATCTTGGGCATCATCTTCAACTATTTTTGATACTGTTGCAATATTCTTAAGTTTTTGCATAGAAAAATGAAGACCATTTTTTAGTAATGGTGACGTGTTATTCTCTGGGATTACAGTACTTGGTTCTATATTAATAAAAGATCAAATATATATTGTGATATTACTTGTAGGTTTGAAGTTTTATATCTTATTATTGTTTTCAAAATTCCTAATATTCTGATGATCGTTAACTTTAATATTTGTATTATATGGTTGCTTGGAAGTCAAATTTCTTTTTTTGATTTATTTTTCACGTGGGTTGATGTATTTCTTGACCAATATCAGCAATGATTATAGTCGCTAAGGCATCAGGTTCAAGTACACTCTCATCTGTATTATCTTGGTTATCTTCCAAAATTACAATATTTTGTTCTATATTTGATAAAAGATCGAATATTTTTTTTTAATATTATTAATTACCAATCTGAAGTTTTATATTTTACTATCATTTGTGAGATTTATAGCATTTTTCTGATAACTATTAACTTTAATATTTGTATTATGCAGTTGCATAGGGGCTGAATTTTTTTGATAATCATTAACTTTAATATTTGTACTTGGCCATGGGACAGAATTTCTTTTTTTTGGCTTATTTTTCATATGAGTTAATATATTTTCTTGACCAATATCAGCACTGCTTGCAATCATTAAGGTACTAGATTCAAGTATGCTCTCATTTGTATTATATTAGTTATTCTTCAAAATTACAGTATTCTGTTCTATATTTAATATAAGATCAAATATTTTTTTAGTAGTATTAATTGCAAGTCTGAAGTTTTATATCTTACTATTATTTTCGAAATTTATAACATAATTATTAACTTTAATATTTGTACTATGATCTTTAATGTTAATTTTAATATTTGTATTATAATCATTAACAATATTTGTACTATAATTATTAACTTTAATATTTGTACTACATGGCTACATAGAAGCCAAATTGCTTCTTTTTGATATATTTTTCATGAGTATTGATATATTTTCTTGACCAATATTAGCATGTAAAGATACACTAATTGCAGTCATTAAGACATTAGGTTCAGGTATACCCTCATTTGTATTACTTTTGCAAAGATCAAAGATCATTAAAAAAATTTTTTTTTAGATTTTCAATCTTGCTGCTATTGTATTTTTTTTTTTTTTTTTTAGTTGTGATAAACTAATATAATTATTACTATTAATATTATCAATACTTTCAAAAGAGTCATATATATTATTAGATATCTCACCCATATTACTTTGATCAGGTATATTTTTGATATTTACATAATTGGTATTATGCTTTCTATTGAGAGATCAGATATTCTTTTTTTTGGTAGTAGAGCATACCATTTCACCCTTGTTTCAATAACTTTTTTTTTTCTTGATCAACTATTATAAATAAAAGATAAAAATATAATTGATATATATGTAGAATTATAAACAATTA